TTCCTGGATAGAGGCATGGCTGACAAATAGGCAGCAAGAGTTTCCCATAAAGGGTGTGTGTGTGTGTGTGTGTGTTATTTTTCCCAAATTTGGCCGGAAACATGCATTAGAAAACCTAGGCCTTTTGTATGTGCATGCGGGGCGCGCGCGCGCGTGTGTGTGTGGGGTGTGGGGTGTGTGTGTGCGGGGCGGCGTTTTGTGTTTTGTGGTGTGTTTTGTGTTGTTTTTGTGTTTAGTGTGGTGTGGGTGTGTCTGTTGCCCCCGGTGTGTGTGTGTGGTGTGGGGAGTGTGTGTGGTGGGGTTTTGGGGTGAAACAGTGTGTGGGGTGCCCAATGTGTGGGTGTCAGTGTTTTAGTTATTTTTGGGGTTTCAAAAGGCACTGCGATTAGCCCACAAAGGCCGTTGTGGTCAGGGGTGTGGTGTGTGTGTGTTTGTGTTGTGTGTGTGTGTGTTTTGTGTGTGTGTGTGTGGGGTGTGGTGTGTGTATTTGGTATGTGTGTGTGGGGTGTGTGTGTGTGTGTGTGTGTGTGTGTGTGTTTTATATTGTGTATGTGGGTGTTTGTGTGGGGTGTGTGTGTTTTGTGTGTGGTGTGTTTTTTGTGTGTGTGTGTGGCCCCTTTTTGGGGTTTGCGGGGGTCGAGTCACAGCTCCGGGACCCCCCCCTTCTTCGCTGTTTGGGCAAACTAGGCCTCTCTCCCCCTGCCCCAGAGCTCTATCATCCCCTCCCCCTTAAAAATGTAGGGCCCCCCGCCTCCATACGTCCCCCTTTTAGGTTTTCCCCACGGCCGGGGACTACTCTACCCCCCGAAAAAATATTTCCCTAACATCCCTTTAAATTCATCGGGAGTTTTTCAATTTCCCAAAAATTGTGACGTGTGTTTTGTGTGTTGTGTGTGTTTTGTGTGTGTGTGTGGTGGGGTGGGGTGTGTGTGTTTTGGGGGTGGTGGTGGTGTGTCTGTGGTTTTCTGTGTGTGCTTTTGTGTGTCCTTTTGTGTGTGTCTGTGTGTGTCTGTGTTTTGTCTGTGTGGTGTGTGGGGGGTGTGGTGTGTGTGTGTGTTTTGTGTGGTATGGTGTGTGTACCCCCTTTTTCACCTATTTGTGGTTGCAGGGACCCGAGTCATAGCCCCCGGGCCCCCGCCTCTTCACGATCGCTACGGGGGGTTCCTCTCTCTCCCCCCCTTCCTGGCTTTGTCATCCCCTTTTTCTTAAAAAAAAAGGAAATTGGGGTTTCCTCCCTTTCCACAAATTCCCCTTTGTAGCTATTCCATTGCTGACAATTTCAATGACTGAAAAAAAATATTTTTCCCTAATCCCCCCCCCCCTGTGATGGGCTGAGCCCTTCGTTTTCCAGTTGTGACCCTTGTCCCGTGCCCCCCCTTCGGAACCCCTATCTCTCCCCCCTTGTCTTTTTCCCCAAAGTATCTTGTATGTCTTTCATCATGTCCCCCCCGACCCTTCTGTCCTCCAGTGTCTTTAAATCCCATTTCCCTTAACCTTTCCTCGTACACATTCCCTTGACTCCCGGGACTGGGTTCCCGTTTTGTTTTTTAATTTTGTTTCAAAAAACTCAATCCATGGGGACGCTTTTTAAGTCCCCGAGTTTCCCCCTACAATTTACCAACTCCTGCGGGGAGAAGGGCCCACTAATTTACAAATTTCAAAGTAGGGAAAATCAAACAAGTATAGACTGTTGTCTCGTTCTTCCCCACCACAGGTAAACCTCACCATCACTCTGGTTTCCGTTAGACCAAAATGGAAAGTGGTTTTGTTACAGCAACTCTGGGAGAAGAAATCACCAGAAACCCCAAGACCCCGAAACCCAAAATATTTTAAAGGGGAAAATAATATTCCCCTTCAAGGGATTAGCAGGATTTTTGTTGGGAGATAGTAGTGATTTGACTTTGACTTAAGAACTCAAAAAAAACTTTAAGAAAGGAGGAAAACACAGCCGGCCACGGGCCCCCCACATTGGAAAAGGGTCCTTTTTAGACCAAGCCCCAAAAAAAAACATATATTAGCCCAACCCATTATCGGTTATCCAAAGGGAATACGGTGCTGGATGAATGATGCCAACACCGCACGCACATCGTTCACCGCAGACCACCCCATCATGAAGTGGGGAGCAGCTCAGCGCAGCGACTCTTTCAAGAAGACAGATCTAAACACAAGATCCTTAGAGTCTTAGTGCGACCATCCAGCAGAACAGAGGAATGAACAAGCCTGGCTGGCCCCCATCACTCACATCACCATCTTTCAAGCATATTAAAACTTTTTCCCCCCATCTCTGCTGGCCCCTCGCCTCATCTCCCTGACCTCACCTCTTTCTTCACCCCTTGAATCTTTTCCCTTTTCCCCCTTTTCCCTTTGACTTTTCCTGTGACCTCTGACAAGCTTGACCTCAAGGTGCTGCTCGTTCACCCAATAAACTGGGGCGTAACTGTATTTTTGTTAATATTTGAAAAAGTCCACCCTAAGAACCCTTTTTAACAGTAAAAAAGGTTCCCGCACCACCGTTCCCCCTCTCTCTCCTCCCCCTCTCTCTCTCTCTCTCTCTCTCTCCTCTCTCTCTCCCCTCTCTCTCTCCTCTCTCTCTTTTCTCTCTCCTCTCCCTCTCTCCTCTCTCTCCCCCTCTCCTCTCTCCTTTCTTCCTCTCTCCTCCCCTCTCCCTCTCCCCCTCCTCTCCTTTCCTCTCCTCTCCTCTCCCTGCCTCCCCTGAGCCTCATCACCGGGGAGGGGAATTTTTATTAGGGGGGACCAACGGAGGCGTCACCGGCAGATGCTGGTGGTGATGGCGCAGCCCACCAGCACGCATCACCATACCTGTTTACACTCACTCTTCCTTCCTTCATTCCTTCCTTCCTTCTTTCCTCTCCTCAACCCTCTCCTCACTCTTATTCCTCTTGTCAATCCTTTCCTCTACAATTACCTTCCTTTCCTTAACCATATCCTTCCCTCCCTTCAACCTTTCCCTCCCTCTCTTCAACCTTCTTACTTATCCCTGTCCTTCCCCTCCCTCCCTTCTAAACTCTCTTCTTCGCCCCTCTTTCTTCTCTCTCTCTCTCTCTCTCTCTCTCTTCTCCTCTCTCTCTCTCTCTCTCCTCTCTCTCTCTCTCTCTCTCTCTCTCAATTTTTTCCTACCTCTCTTCTCTCCCTGTTTCCTATACCTCAACTCTCACCTTCTACTCTTCTCATTTTTCTCATCTGTTCCACCCACCCGTCGTCTTTTCTCCCTCTCTCTCTCATTTTCCTTCTCTCTCTTCCCCCATTCCGTTCTTCCCAGCCTCCACTCTTCCTTTTTCCTCCACCCAGAAACTTTGTTGCTTCCTTTTTTTTCAGCTATCTTCCCCTCCTCTCCCCTCCCTCTCCTCTCTTCCTCTCTCTCCTCTCTCTTTTCTCTCTCTCTCCCCTCTCTCTCTCTCTCTCTCTCTCTCTCTATCTCTCTCCCCTCTCTCTTCTCCTCTCTCTCTCTCTCTCTCTCTCTCTCTCTCTCTCTCTCCCCTCTCTCTCTCTCTCTCTCTCTCTCTCTCTCTCTCACGTTTCCACTTCCAGCAACAACTTATTTTTGCTCCATTTAATTTCCTCACTTCCTGCCTGTCCTTCTTTTCACTTTCTTTATCTAACAAATTCTTTTCTCTCACCTTAAAAGGTGCCTTCAAGCTTTTATTCCAGTCCCTTCTTTCTCTTCCTAGTTTGTTTCTTATCTTCTCTTTCACTCACTGTTCTTCTCTTTACATAGTTTGTAACAGCACTTGAGAATTCCTTCCATGTGTTTTACAGGCTAAGATTTCTTACATTAGTTTATTTTACAATCCGTTTTGTTAGCTAAGAGTTGTTCTTTTAACTCTGTGTGTGTGGTGTGTGTGTGTGTGTGTGTGTGTGTGTGTGTGTGTGTGTGTGTGTGTGTGTGTGTGTGTGTGTGTGGTGTGTGTGTGTGGTGTGTTTTTCCAGGAACGAAGAATTGCGTGCGAATGTGAGGACTAATGGGGGGGATACAAGAGTAAAAAAATATATTTGTGTTTTTGTTTTAAAGAGTGCAGTGAGATGGTGACTTACTATAATGCTTAACCAGAGGAGGCGTCTGAAGAGGCCTCCCAGCACCCGGCTGCTCCGCTCCTGCCTCCACACCAATCTGAAGCACAAAGTCACAAAATGTTACTCTGTTTTTTTATCTTCAGCCTTTGACGCTGAAGAAAAAAATAAAGGAAGCATTCCGTCAACGGTGAAACGAAGGAAGTTGAATTTTTTTTTTCTTGTTGATGGTTGAAGAGTCTTCTGGTGGATATTAGTGTTTTAGAGAGAGAGGAGAGAGAGAGAGGAGAGAGAGAGAGAGAGATTCACGTATGCTTGTGGCCTGAGATGCATAAATGAAGATGTGCGTTCGTGCGTTTGAGCTCATACACGTACAGTATACCTGTAACGACTTTTGCGGAAGACATTATGTATATATATACATAGTATGTGTGTTTCTCAACACATGGTATGTGTGTATCTCGATATACAAGTTGACTAAGTTAATTAATGGAAGGAAGTGCATAGACTGTCTGAGGAGTAGTTGGAATGAGTGTGGTGGAAGTTTTGAGGGAAAAGAATTAAGCATCCAGCAGACATGCAGCAAGGCACAAAAAAAAAAGACACACACGTTGAAGAACAAGCTTTTATTGGACAACATTTCTCTCTGCCCGATGATTAGATAATGCTTGTACCGCAGCGTGTATCTGTTCTTCAGTATTGTGGGCAATACGCTTTATTGGATCGGTTGGAAAGCCGTATTAGGATCAGACTTGTCTGTCTTGTGACGAAGGGAACTTTCCTATGCTGCTTCAGTATTAGTATGATAATGTCTTCACGGGGAATCTAGAAAGCTGGTTTGTGACAGAAACTGTTCCCAGTGTTTAGTGATTTATTCTGTCTGCCGAGCAGCAGAAAATGGGCCGAAAGAACCAATCATTTTACAAGACCAGCACAATAGACTAATACGATATTTTCACACACACTACTGACAACCAAGTAAACTGACAGATGTTAAAATAAGCTTATAAGCCACAGACTTGTGTATCATTGAGCACAAGCATTAATACATAACTTAAGACCACGTATGTTCAAGCTCGACAACTGTATTATTTAAAATATCGTATAAAGTTTAGAACTGAGATTCATTCTTCAGCAACATTATAGTATGGAAATAATGACAAAATGCCAATTATATCACATTAGATGAGACGAAATCTGTGTATATAACTATGTTCCAGTTGGTCAGTTCCAGTTATATCCCACTTTTGAAGACAGCATCGTTAAAAGGCACATTTTAAGCTAATCTTAACTGTCTAACCTTGAGTCAACATAACTTTAGAATTATGACAGTGAAATGACAGTGTGATGTTTATCTACTGAATTTTAACCAACAGTTTTGCCAACGTGAGGATAGATGGCATGCAGATAATGGTGTGTGTGTGTGTCCATGGGAACAGGTGACTCTTCCTCTGATATAACATTGCTTTGACAAAGAATTGCCAGCATTCCAAATAACTTAAGCAAATCTTTCACTTTACCAGCGTTTCTCACACTCAAGAGTCACTCGATTTTTCTGAATAATATATATATATATTATATATATATATATATATATATATAAATATTATATATATATATATATTATATATTATTATATATATATAGTTACATATATATATATAATATATATATATATATATATATATTATATATTTAATATTTTTATTTATTTATTTATTTATTTATTTATTATATATATATTATATATATATATATATATATATATCATATATATTATATATTATTATATATATATATATGGGTCTGTAAAAGATGAGGTGAATAACAGAACTGACAAGCGGAAAATGGTGAGTGGTGCACTTAGGAATCTGTGGAGACAAGGAACTTTGTCCATGGAAGCAAAGAGAGGAATGTATTAGAGTACAGTTATACCAGTGCTCTTATATTGGTGCGAAGCATGGGTGGAGAATGTTGCAAAAAGGAGAAGGCTGGAGGCAGTGGAGATGCCATGTCTGAAGGCAATGTGTGCTGTGAATATAATGTAGAGAATTCGTAGTTTGGAAATTTGGAGGAGGTGTGGGATTACCAAAAGTATTATCCACAGGGCTGCGGAGGGGTTGTTGAGGTGGTTCAGACATGTAGAGAGGATAGAACAAAATAGAATTACTTCGAGAGTGTATAAATCTGTAGAGGAGGGAAGGCGGGGTAGAAGTCGGCCTAGGAAAGGTTGGAAGGAAGGGGTAAAGGAGGTTTTGTGTGTGAGGGGGCTTGGACTTCCAGCAAGCATGCATGAGCATGTTAGATAGGAGCGAATGGAGACAAATGGTTTTTAGGACTTGACGTGCTATTGCAGTGTGAGCAGGGTAATATTTACGAAGGGATTCAGGAAAACCGGCAGGCCTGACTTGAGTCCTGGAGATGGGAAGTACAGTGCCTGCACTCTGAAGGAGGGGTGTTAATGTTGTAGTTTTATAATTGTATCGTAAGCGCGCATCTGGCAAGACATTGATTAAGTGAACGATGGTAAATGTTTTTCTTTTTCGGGCCACCCTGCCTTGGTGGGAAACGGTCGATGTGTTAATAAAATAATATATATATAAATGGGAAGTACAATGCCTGCACTTTAAAGGAGGGGTTTGGGATATTGGCAGTTTGGAGGGATATGTTGTGTATCTTTATACGTATATGCTTCCAAACTGTTGTATTCTGAGCACCTCTGCAAAAACAGTGATTATGTGTGAATGAGGTGAAAGTGTTGAATGATGATGAAAGTATTTTTTGGGGGGATTTTCTTTCTTTTTGAGTCACCCTGCCTCGGTGGGAAAAGGGGGTAAAGCAGCTGGAACTTATGGGATCATGACAGAATTGTTAAAAGCAGATGGAGTGGTTGGTACTTTTGTTCACTGTATGAAAGAGGGGAAGGTACCTAGGAATTGGCAAAGAGTGTGTATAGTTCCTTTATATAAAGGGGAGAAAGAGAGTGTAAAAATTATATAAGAATAAGTTTGCTGAGTATAGCAGGTAAAGTGTTTGGTTGGGTTATTATTGGAAGAATTAGAGGTAAAGTAGAGAGCAGGACTGCAGATGAAAAAGGAGGCTTTAGAATGGGTAGGGGATGTGTAGACCAAGTGTTTACATTGTAGTGAAGTTTTTGTTGTATTTATGGATTTAGAAAAGGCATATAATAAGGTGGATAGGGAAACAATGTAGAAAGTGTATGGAATAGGTATTAAGTTACTAAATGCTGTAAAGAATTTTATGAGGATAGTAAGGCTCAGGTAAGGGTGTGTAGGAGAGAGGGAGATTACTTACCAGTAAAAGTAGACACTAGACACGGATGTGTAATGACACCATGGTTATTTAACATATTTATAGATGGAATTTAAAGAAGTAAATGCTAGGGTGTTGGGTAGAGGGGTGGGATTAAATCATGGGGAGTCAGATACATAATGGGAGTTGAAACAGTTA